CTTGTTCCAAAACAGCTATTTTTGAGTACCTTTGCAAGATTAAAATATTGTCTTATTGGTGAGATGGGTAGCATATAAATATATAAACAAGTAAATAATTTCCAAATGGACATTGCCGGCAGAAGATGGCTAATATCACACTAGATGAAAGTGTCTCTAACGTTGTGTGCATACTCGTTGGGGCCTAAGTTGGTGCAAATGTGAGGGCAAAGTACACACTCAGCTTTGTTGTAAGATCTGTTTCCCATGTTAGCAGCATTGTTCTATTAACTAGTGATGGATACAAAGCAGAATTCAAAAAAAAAATGTTAAAAGAAACCTCCCAAGCTATCTGATTCTGAATAGAAAGTCCCTCTGGGGCTGTTGCTTGCGTAGTAGGGAGTTAGTTGTCTTCTCTGGTTGGCAACCATCTGGCACTGGTTTAGCAGTCTCTCATTAAACATCACACCCAACATTTGAATTATGGGTACATATGAACTATTTTGCCAGAGTCTGCTTTGCTATAAGCAGCTTCCAGATCTAGGTTGCAAAAGTCTCGATAACCAGTAAATGATATTTAAAAAAAATTAAGGCTTTTGTATTTCTTTGTTCTCACCCGGTGCTCATTCAGAATTTTGCAGCCCAAACTCAGCCAACTGTAATGCCATACAATATTATGACATGCTTACCCATCTGTTGTTGGTTAGAGCGAAATTTATTAGTATCTGTGTTCTCAATTAACATGCAGGTGCTGCCACTACTGCTGGTGGAAATACCCCAGCGTCCCCAAGGTTTGGTGTTTTCCACCCCTTCTGGTTTAGATTGATGGGGGATGCAGAGCAGGTGTGAAAAATATAGGGAGGAAAGAAGCCGGAGTGCCGAGTATCCACAGGAGACATAAAGACCTGAAATTCAAGTCGGCATGTTTGCCTGATTCACCACATAAAAGAAAAATAATTTTAATGTGAATTTAACTCTTTACCTCCACTGATTCCACAGCTGGGGAAACCCCCACCTCAAAAGCAATCTAGGATCTTCCTCTGGAGTTTCACTAAACCCTGGCATAGATTAAGGTCAAGGCTCTTTTCTTCAATTCTTTCCATGGCAGGTGGCAACTTCTGCCAACTATTCTGTTCAGTGGTGGGTTTCAAAATTTTTTACTACTGGTTCTGTGGGTATGGCTTGGTGGGCGTGGCTTGGTGGGCGTGGCAGGGAAAGGATACTGTAAAATTTCCATTCCCTCCCCACTCCAGGGGAAAGTTATTACAAAATCTCCATTCCCTCCCAATCAGTGGGAGGCAGAGAATAAATGGGGGCGGGGCCAGTCAGAGGTATTATTTACCGGTTCTCTGAACTACTCAAAATTTCCGCTACCGGTTCTCCAGAACTGGTCAGAACCTGCTGAAACCCACCTCTGATTCGGTTGTTGTTGTTGTTGTAGGTCTCAGGGCTTCTTCTGACAGCATCACTGGATTTGAGCATGGCTGGACAAAGCACCATTGCCGAACAGATTTTTGCAAGGAAAACCATCATATATGATCTAAAAGTGAGTCACAAAAAAGGAAGCACCCAATTTCCCCTTGTAATTTGGATTAAAAATCCCCCGAACCACAAACCAGGTCATTGCAGACTTCATCCAGTTCTGTCCCCCGCCAGTCATTATGTGTGGTACTATTGGCCATTCCTGTCTGACTCTCACTATTTTGGTGTGAAGGAGGTGATTTCCACATCAGGAACTGATGAGAAATCAGTCCAGTTCTGTTCTCCAGAGACCAAATTGAAATGAATATTTTAAAGAGCACTTAATATAATGCTATGTTATCCCGCTGTATCTGTCCCCATGGCCAGGACTTGTCTAATGTTTATTTGAAAATACATTCAGCGAAGCGCCTTTCCATCATTAAATCCAGCCCTTGGATTTCGTCTCATTGTTTATAGCTGGAAGATTACTAATGTATAGCTTCTTAATTACCCCCAGAGGAGTAGAGATACTTTAATTACTGGTTATCTTTCAGCTTTTTTCCCCCATTTATTTTTAAATAATAAGATAGGACTATTAAAAAAAAAGAAGGGTTAAAAAAAAAAGGAAAGAATAAATTGCTCCCAATCCACCTTCTCAGGAATATATGTAATGTGACGCTACAACAATTAAGAGAGTCTGTTCTGGGGACAATTAACTAAACTCACCTAAAATTAGTAAGGATTAAACTGGGCATGATGTGCAAACGGAAAAACTTCATTTAAAAGCAAGCCTGCTTTTAAATAAGGGTTTGATTTACATGAGACTTCATTAGTGATGGCAGCTTAGATTGAGTGGGGTGTATGAAAAAAAATGTAAGTTGAGGGGGCCTTGGAGCTCTCTTGATTTTGGTTGTTTTCTTGCAAAGGTTTCTTTACCCAAACTAGATAATATCACCAGTGCATCATCATAATGTAAGTTGTTCCATCAGATAGGCAGAACCTAAACCCTTTCAGAGAAAAATCCAACATTTTGAACTCAGGCTGTTGTTTATCACAATATAGGATTAGTGTTTTCCCAGTGTATCTAGAAACAGTGGTGGTGCTGAGACAAAATAGTCAGTTTGTCAATGTCTCTTTCTCCCAAAAAAAAGGGGGGGGGAGATTTTCAAGCTACAGCCTGACAGTTTGTCTCATGAGGATTGAACAAAGCATATAATTTGAAAAATGTAACGTATAGATAGTCCTTGACTTATGAACACAATTGAGCCCAGAATTTCCGTTGCTAAGCAAGGCAAGTTGTTCAGTGAGTTGTGTCCCATTTTATAATTTTTTTTTTGCCACGGTTGTTAAGCGAATCATTGCAGTTAATTGAATCATGCAGTCATTAAGCAAATTTGGTTTCCCCCATTGACTTGGCTTGTCAGAAGCTGGCTGGGAAGGTCACAAATGGTGATCATGTGACCCTGGGACTGTGCCACTGTCATAAATACATGCCAGTTGCCAAGTGCCCGGATTTTGATCATGTCACCATGTGAATGCTGCAATGATCGTAATTGTGAAAAAACAGTCATAAGTCACTTTTTTCAGTGCTGTCGTAACTTTGAATGGTCGCTAAATGAATGGCTTGTAAGTCGAGGACTAACAACCCATAACAAATTCTGCAACTGGAGAAGCAAAAGCAGTATTAATATAAGAGTACAGCATACATCATGCATTCACCATCCATGTGAAGTTAGTGTCTATATCAAATAAAATAGGCAGACATTTGGCAATAAGCAATATAGACAGACATTTAATGGCATAGTATCCTAGTTAAAACAGCCTTCTGCAAGCTACTGCCTTTAAGATGTAGGAAAATTCTGGTTGCCACTTATCCAGGGGATCCCCATTTGGAGGAAATTTGGGCTAGAATGATGGAAAAAGGAAAACTTGTCAATTACTATTTTTCAATTTAACAGATTTTTGGGGTCTGCTGTAAGGATTACATAGCAGAGCAGCAAGCTACAGTATGTATATACTTCAATTTCTTAGTGCAAAATAATAACTATGTTTCATAAATAAGTAAAATGAACAGTATGATGAAACACAGTGAATTTTTTAGATTTTTATCCCCCCCTTTATTACTTTATAAGTAACTCAAGATGTTAAATGTATTTAATATTACTTCCTCCTCCTATTTTCCCCACAACAACCCTGTGAGGTGAATAGGATTGAGAGCGAGTGGCCCAAAGTCAGCCAGATGACTTTCATACCTCAGGCAGGACTGGAACTCACCATCTCTTGGTTTGTAGGCCATCACCTGAACCACTACACCAAGCTGGCTTCCACTTACAACTGAAAAAAACGCTTCTCTTTTGTTTTTCATCTGTGCATGGGTTTCCCTTTGGTTGATTGGATTTTTTTTCTTGGTTAGTTGGATTTTATATTTGAATTCATTCTATTGCTGTATTTAAAAGCACAGCCTTTATGGTTTCAGTCTATTCTGAAAGCACTGGAAAACGCCTTAGCATATTTTAAAAATAAACTCATAGGTAGCTGGCAAGGGCCCCTATGTTCAATTAATTGGCATGATGGATAAGGGTTTGAGGGATTAAAAGGCAAATTATACTACTATACTACTTGGCCTTTTCGTGATATAAATAAGACATTCAACTAAATGAAAGTTTTTACAGTGGCTGTCATTTGGGAGAAGTGCATTGTCCGTGTTTTCCAGACATTGAAGTGGTACCATTAGTTGTTACGTTTTCAGCACTTCAATAGCTGTAAAACCAGTCCAAACACATCTAAAATTACTCTTTTGTATTCTTTCATTTTAAATGCAGAACTATCAACATTTAATGTTTCCTTATCCATAAAACTCAGCTCCATCTGGTGGTAGCACAAGAAAGAAACCTTGGACGAGAATTAATTTAGACGCTTGAGGGAGACATTTCTGCCTTAGTATACATGTAGCCCTTGATTTATAACCATTCGTTTAGTGACTGTTACAATGGCACTGAAAAAAGTGACTTGCTCTTATGACTGTCACAGCATCCCTGGGTCATGTGATTGCCATTTGATGACCTTCCCAGGTGGCTTCCGACAAGCAAAGTCAATGGGGTAACCTGGGTTCATTTGAAGACCACATTATTCACTTAACAACTGATATGATTTGCTTAACAGCTATGGCAAAAAAGGTTTTAAAAAATGTGCGCAACTCATTTAGCAACAACCCTTACTTAGCAACAGAAATTCTGGTTAGTCGTACATTGAGGACTACTTATATTAGGAATTAAGACACTGAAAATTTCCTGACAGAACAATTAATCCGTGGAACAAGGTGCCTCCAGAAGCTGTGAATGCTCCAACAGTGGAAGTTTTTAAGAAGAGATTAGATAACCATTTGTCTGAAGTGGTGTAGGGTTTCCTGCCTAAACAGGGGGTTGGACTAGAAGACCTCCAAGGTCCCTTCCAGCTCTATTCTGATTGACTGACTGACTGAGGGATTGGACAAGTTGAGCACGACGGCATGGACAGCTGAGCGTCCTCGCTCGCACGGCCGCTAGAGGGGGGTCGTTGGCAAGGCCCCGCCCGCTCTTCCCGCCCTCTCTCATGGCTGCCCTCCGGTTGCTGGGCTCGGCTCTCGTCTGGAGAGCAAGGCCGGCTTTCGCCCGCAGGTCAGTGTAGCCCTGGGGCTGCAGCCGAAAAGCGCCCGTCGGCCCTTTGCACCCGGGGAAGGGCTCGAGCTGCTACTGCTGCATTTCGGCTCGCGCTGCGGAGGCTCCTCTCCTCGCCTCCCCGTGAAAGAAATGCCCGGGGCTGTGTGTGTGTGTGTGTGTCTCCGGGGGACTGAGATCCCAATTGACCTTGGCTGAAGCTCAGCAAGCCGGATTTCGATAGGGGCGCTCAGGAAACGCCGGTTCGATCCTGGGGAAGGACGGGAAGGACCCCTGTCCAGAGAAGGCGGGAGGGCACTTTTCCGTTCTTGGCGGCTGAGCAAACTCTTTGCACGTGTGGCTGTGAAATCCCATAGTAGAAGCTTGCCTTGCAGGGGGAATTAAATCTCTCTTTTTTTTTTCCTGTGAGGAGGTGCAGGGGAAAAAATAACGCGCTTGGCTTAGTTGTGGCTTAGAAAGTTGCACAGCAACGGGTCTGGTTGGGTTTGTAAATTATGTTGGGAGTCTGAATTTAAATCGGATTTGATGTTGGGAGATCTGCTGCCTGTTGGGATGCAGAGGAATCCTCTGGGAAAGGAAAGGGGCTTTCCTCGCCCATTCAGTTGGGAGTTATGGGTGTGGGGGGGTTACATTGTTTTATATCCACACACTTTTCAAAACCATATGTAATTACAGGTAGTCCTCAACTTGTGGCCACAATTGGGGCCCCAAATTTCTTTTGCTAAGCGGAACCGTTTTTAAAGGAGTTTTGGCCCATTTTATGACTTCTCTTGCCACAGTTGTTAAGTGAATCACTGCCGTTGGTAAATTAAGGTCGTAAAAGGGGATCACGTGAACCCCCCCCCTCCACTGCAGTTGTCATAAATTATGAACCAGTTGCCAAGCATCTGAATTTTGATCACGTGATCCTGAGGATGCTGTCATGGTCGCAAGTGTGATAAAACGGTCATAAGCCACGTAAGTCACTTTTTTCAGCGCTGTAATTTTGAACAGTCACTAAATGAACTGTTGAAAGTCGAGCACTACCTGTACCTTGAAAAGCTAAAACCTTGTTTGAGAGGTCCTTAGTGTACTTGTTTGAAGAAGTTTAAACCAGGGGTGAAATCCAGCAGGTTCTGACAGGTTCTGGAGAATCATTAGTGGAAATTTTGAGTAGTTCGGAGAACTGCCAAATACCACCTTTGGCTGGCCCCAGGGTGGGGTGGGAATGGAGATTTTGCAGTATTCTTCTCCGAAGAGTGGGGAGGGAATGGACATTTTGCAGTATCCTTCCCCTGCCACGCCTACCAAGCCACACCACATCCACCAAGCCACGCTCACAGAACCGGTAGTAAAAAAATTTGGATTTCACCACTGGTTTAAACCCATTGAGAAACTAGCAGTATCAATAGGGCAGTTGAACCTTACAGAAGGGAGAGTGCCAAAATTATTTAATTATGCCATTCTGTCTAGAGCATTTACCTCATAAAAATTGTATTGCTGGCTGGAGTATTCTAGCAGTTGAAGTCCATGCGTCTTAAAATGGCTGAGGTTGGGAAAATTACAATAAAGGGATGTAAATTATTCTGGATTAAAATACGAGGGGAAGGGCCTTCTGCCTACTGTAATTTAAATGCTGTTTTTTCACAATGTAGCTAGAAGTACAGATAGTCCTCGACTTACAGCAGTTCGATTAGTGACCATTTGAAGTTACAATGACACTAAAAAAAGTGACTTATGACCATTTTTCACACTTACGACCATTGCAGCATCCCCTATGGTCACATGATAAAAATTCAAACGCTTGGCAACTGACTCATATTTATGACGGTTCTAGTGTCCGGGGTCATGTGATCCCCTTTTGCAACCGCCTGACAAGGAAAGTCAATGGGGAAGCCTGATTCACTTAACAACCATATTACTAATTTAACAGCTTTAGTGGTTCACTTAACAACTATGATAAGAAAGGTCGTAAAATGGTGCAAAACCTCAATGAAGGTCACACTTAGCAACAGAAACTTTGGGCTCAATTGTGGTTGTAAGTTGAGGACTACTTGTAACTGGACCACAATTTTACTCCCCTATCATGCACAGCAGTGATGGGTTTCAAAAATTTTTACTACCGGTTCTGTGGGTGTGGCTTGGTGGGTGTGGCAGGGGAAGGATACTGTAAAATCCCCATTTCTTCCCGATCAGCTGGGACTTGGGAGGCAGAAAATAGATGGGGGCAGGGCCAATCAGAATTTTTACTATCAGTTCTCTGGACTACTCAAAATTTCCGTTACCAGGTCTCCAGAATTGATCAGAACCTGCTGAAACTCACCTCTGATGCACAGATCTTTAACCAATGTTCAAGGTTACTGTTCTGTCTGTCCTTTTTGGATATGGGTCAACCCCAGATGGCAGCCCCTCAGGTTTCCATTTAGTTAAGAGTGATTCATGTAACATCCAGTAAATTTGTAGTTGGTTAACTGGCATTTTGACTTACTGGTCAGGCCGACTGCCATTATCTCATGTTCTCTCTTCAGTTTCAGGCAGCCTCAGCGAAATCATCGCCTCACGCCTTCCGATGATGAGCTTCTCCAGAAAACAACACTCCATCGTTTGGAAAAAGAATCACCAAACATCATGTTTATTGAAAATTACACTAATTATGGTTTCTCCATCAATGGGAACACAGTGATAGGCCCTTGCGCTATTTTGCCACAAGCCATCTTGCAGTGGAATGTAAGTTTTTCAGTTCCTTTATAGAGATGCATGAATCTCTTCAGTTCAGGATATGTATTTTCTAATTTTAATATATTTTTCCTTAAATCCATTTACAGTGAGCCCTTGCTTAATGATGGGAATTTCCATTACTAGGCAATATTTTTGTAAACTGCAATGTACATGACGCTTAGCGATGGCAGTTCCAGCAGTTCTGTCATTAAGCAAGAACCGCATGAGCTGACTTCCTGCCGGCTTCCCCAATGACTTTGTTTGTGAGAAGCTGCCAAGTATGTTCATGTGATAGCGGGACGCTGTGATAGTCAGAAATCTGGGCTGGTTGCTGAACACCTGGATTGTGATCATGTGACCATGAGGTCACTGCAACAATGAGATTTTCTAAGATCAGTCATAACTACCACTCATTTAATGCCATCACAGGTTTGAAGAGTTGCTGAACGAGTGTCATTTAATAAGAACCACCAGTTTGTGATTCACGTAGAATTATGTTTTTAATGGAAACTATGTACGATATTTTTCAGAGTATAAGACGCACCTTTTTTCCTCAAAAAACAGGGTGAAAATCTGGGTGCGTCTTATACTCCGAATGTAGCCCCGCCCAGCTTCTCAAACGGAGGTTTCAGAGGCTGAAAAAAGCATCAGAAACGAAGCTTCAGAAAAGAAACCCCCAAACAGAGCCTCAGAGGTTTTTTTTTTCTGAAGCTGTTTTGGAGGCTTTCAGAGGCAGGAAAAAAAAAGCAAGGCACAGAGCTCACAACCAAGGAACCTGTTGCTAAAATTCACCTCTGGGAACAGTTGATTGGGGTTATTCCGGGAGGCCGATCTACCTGCCCAATCAGCTTTTTTCTTATTTTTCTCCCCAAAAACTAAGGTGCGTCTTATACTCTGGTGTGTCTTACACTCCGAAAAATATGGTATTTTAATGCATAAAACTCCCGTTCACCTTCGGAGATCATGTAGTCCATCTAAAACAGTGTTTCTCATTGGATAATAGAGGTAGAGATTAGGGACTGGAAAAGTACTGTTATGTAAGCAAATTGATCCAGACAATACGCTGTTCACAAAGCACTTAGGTATGTAAAGAGAAAATGTATAAATAAACTGTTAAAAAATAAATAAAACTGTGTTTCTCAATCTTGGTCACTGGAGATGTATGGACTTCAACGTGTCGGCTGGAGAATTTTGGTCATTAAAGTCCAAACATCTTCAACTGGTCAAGGTTGAAAAACGCTGCTTTTTTGTTATGCTGTGTATTCACTATTGGAAGCGTTTGTCTTTTATTATTTTGTTTCAAATTCCAGGTTGGCACGTATAAAGATATTATTCCAGGCAGTCTTGCTCTGTTCCATATGCTGGAGCCTAAAATAGGTATAAAATAACTGTGAATCCTGGGCTGGGTTTTAAGAGGGTTTTGTAATTTTCCGCCTTAAGAAGGAAAGATCATCTCACAATCCTTCCCTGCATTCCCCTGTTGGTTGTCCTAGAAATTGTGGTCCTGGGAACGGGAGCCAAAGTAGAGAGGCTGGATCCTGATGTCCTGAAATGTTTGCATCAACGTGGGATTGCTGTGGAAATACAAAGCACGGTAAGAGATGGTGTGGTAAGAACAGGAAGAAGCAGATAGCAAGAAAGATTAGGGGAGAAAGCAGCGCAGTAGAATTTTCTTCTTCTGGTCTAGGATTTCATGAAACCTCAAAATATAAAAAGCTGGGTGGCACAGGCAGCTTGAAACCTTGCTGCCTGCTGCAGTGTTCAGCGTGCTTAGCATTCTTATTTAGGTTGCATACTTCTAGTCCTCATGATTTGTTTCTTTAAAGTGCACAGAAATGCACATGGAGCTTATTTTTTATCTCCAGAAGTCTTTGCTTGGATTGTATGCTCCAGAAAAATTTGGCAGTGATGCCTTTGGCATTTTGCAATGGAATTTGTATTGCTCTTTTCTTTCCTCTGACAATTAGGACAATTAATCCTTGGAACAATTTGCCTCCCGAAGTTGTAAATGCTCCAACACGGGAAGTTTTTAAGATGAGATTGGATAACCATTTGTCTGAAATAGTATAGGGTTTCCTGCCTAAGCAAGGGGTTGGATTAAAAGAATAACTCTGCTATTCTATTCTATTCTATTCTATTCTATTCTATTCTATTCTATTCTATTCTATTCTATTCTATTCTATTCTATTCTATTCTATTCTATTCTATTCTATTCTATTCTATTCTATTCTATTCTATTCTAATTCTATTCTATTCTATTCTATTCTATTCTATTCCGTATGCATTGGTATAGTGATTCGCTAAAGCATGAACTAGCAATAAAAATACACTCATCTTTTTTTCCACATTGATTCCTTTGGTTGGCTTTGAACTTGGACCCAGGTGCCCAGCTGTACATACCTCCTTATGGATGGACACTAATCAAGGAGAGAACCAACCTAGAACTAAGGAGAAAGTTCCCGAGAGTTAGAACAATTAATCAGTGGAGGGAGTTGCCTCCAGAAGTTGTGGGTGCTCCAACACTGGAGGTTTTGAAGAAGAGATTGGACAACCTTATAGGGTTTCCTATTTGAGCAGGGGGTTGGAGTAGAATACCTCCAAGGTTCTTTCCAGCTGGGCTGTTCTTTTATTCTTTCTCATCTCTTTGGCTCCACAGTCTAATGCTTGTGCCACTTTCAACTTCCTGGTAAGCGAACGGCGTGTGACAGCTGCTGGACTCATACCTCCTCCTCCTGCTGCCATGTTTGAATAAGCCTTTAAGGGTAAGACGAGACGAGAGGCGTTCTAAGCAGGCTAGAGAAAGAGACTCTACAGGGATGGCTGCCTGCCCCTTCAGGGATCTGTCAGCTGCTTCTCCCAGTCACAGACAAGCATCTGCTGTAAGATGTCTGTTGCCAAAAGAGCTGGATTTTTTCCCCAGGCTTACAGCTAGATCCGAGGCAGGCCGCTCTTCTTTGCAGCATGAGCCCAGCGTGGAAAAGAAGGCCTGAAAGCGATTACCATGCACCACTGTTTGTGTCTTGTATCTAGTTGTTATCTGAAACAATTGCAGGCTGCTAGTGAATTTCTGTCCTCGGAGGAAATCTGTCGGGTAGACTGAAATAAAATTATTTGTCTAAAATTGATTTATAGTCTTTGAGATGAAGTTTTTAATGTGGGTTAACCCTGTTTAGGATATCATGCATTATCAGTGAACTGCAATTTAAGTTTTTATTTAAGCAGCACAGAAAAAAAAAATCATAAAAGGAACATGTGGAAACATATAAGGAAGATACCTAATCTCACCTTGTTAGCAATATTCATAGCCTATGCCGGAGACAAGTTTTTTCCGTGTACCACATGTGTTGTGTGCCTGCACATGGTAGCTGCAATGAGAGGGAGAGGGGTTCTGTGTTTGTAGAGTTAAGAGGACAATGCCAAGCTCATGGTTTAGGAAGCGAGAGGGATGTGCCTCATGATTTAGCTTATTGCTTGTAGCTCAGCATTGATGTGAGGCTTGTTGTCTACCATTGAGCTGTAAGCTGTCTTTTGAGCGAAATCTCATTTAAAAGGCCTATATGGCAGACCATGTGCGAATCTGCTTAAAATGTAGCCCTCTGGAACAAGTGTAGCAGTATCCGTTTTGACATCTGTTGTATGTCTGGGTGGGTGGTTCATCAATAGCAACAGCACTTAAGACTCGTGATGGCGAACCTGTGGCATGTGTGCCAGAGGTGGCACACAGCACCCTCTCTGATGGTACGCAATCTGTTGCCCCAGTTCAGCTCCGCTGCGCATGTGGGCATGCCTTCCACCGGCCAGCTGGTCTTCGGGTCTTTGCTGCGCATGTGCGGGGGGCACTTGGTCTGGAAAAGGTTAGTCATCACTTAGACTTATATACCACTTCACAATACTTTTACAGCCCTCTCTAAGCGGTTTAGAGTCAGCATATTGCCCCCAACAATCTGGGACCTCATTTTACCAACCTTGGAAAGGTAGAAGTCAACATTGAGCCAGTCAGGATCGAACTCCAGCCTGTGGGCAGAGTTAGCCCACAATACTGCATTCTAACCACTGCGCCATCACTGCTCCTAAAGGACTGTCTCCTGTCAATGAAAGCTCAGACTATAATCTAAGCCCTCTTGAAGCTGGAATAGTTCCGAGAGATAATAGAGCCGAGGTGGCGCAGTGGTTAGAGTGCTGTACTGCAGCTACTTCAGCTGACTGCTAGTTCAGCAGATCAGTGGATCAAATCTCACCGGCTAAAGGTTGACTCAGCCTTCCATCCTTGAGGTGGGTAAAATGAGGACCCAGATTGTTGGGGGCAATATGCTATTTAGTATACTGTCGATTGTTGTAAGACGCCCAGAGTCCTCGGAGAGTGGGCGGCATAGAAATACGATTAATAAAATAATAATAAATAGTTCGTTTAACATGTATTCTGTCATAAGGCCAGAGTCTCTCCTGCCATCCTGCAGAACAAAGCTCTGGTTTATCATTTTGCTTAGCTGAAGCATATCCCAGCCCCCATAGTTTTAAGGAACACGTTATACAGGTAGTTCTCAGCTTACAACAGTTCATTTAGTGACCATTCAGTTGCAATGGCACTGAAATAAGTGTCTTATGACAGTTTTTCATACAACTGTTGCAGCATCCCCATGGTCACAGGATCATGATTCGGATGCTTGACAACTGATTCATGTTTATGACCGTTGCAGTGTCCCGGGGTCACATGATCCGCTTTTGTGACCTGACAAGAAAAGTCAAGGGGAAAATCCAGATTAATTTAACAACCGGGTTACTAAGTTAATAAACTGCAGTGATTTACTTAACAAATGTGGCAAGAAAGGTTGTAAAATGGGGCAAAATTCACTGAACAAACGTTTCAGTTAGCAACAGAAATTTTGGGCTCATGGTCGTACGTCGAGGACTACCTGTATTGCACACGTGTGCCTCTGGCAAAGCTGAGCGAACTCTGAACTTTGAGGAGGTATTATTTAAACAAATACACCAAGAACAGGGCTGCCCTTTGCCAAGACTTGTGAAACAGTCAACAGACAAGTCACAATCTATCTAAGCGGATCCCAAATATTTTACAGTAATGGAAAGCCATTTTGGTTCTCACATTTAAGGGGCTCCAGCAAAACTAACTGGTCTTTTAAACATATTTCATAGCCTTATTACTATGAACCTGTGTTTATTTCTCATGAGAAAAGATAGGAAATAAGTTTTTAGTGGAACAGTTTAGTAATTTGATTCGAGACAAAAAAATGGCTGCACTTAGATGCACAAACTGCAACTGTTTAAACTAAATGCATGTTTTTATAGGAACGCCCAGCAGAGGGCAGTCATGTGATACCAGAATACCTGCTTTAGGGAGTCGGGGACAGGTGCTGTTGCTGCACAAGGGCCCTTGCAAGTGACTGGGCAGCTAATTGCCTTTGAATTTAAAGTAAGTTAAGTCCTGTTAATAGGCATTTTGTGTATCAAATCAAGGAATATGTACAAGTAACTAATGCATTTTTCCCCAAAATATTTTTACAGAACGCTTCACTATGATATGGCATAAACCATTGACATGCAAAACTGAAGGTTTGATTGATTGTTTATTTGAGTGATCACTGAGACTACAGAGATAACTCCACATAGCTGGGTTGACCTTTTTTTGGGGAAGTGGTTTGGAAAGGCTGACTTGGGTCCTGGCTGGCCTTGTGCCTAAGGCAGGACTAGAACTCGAGGCTCCCAGTTTTCAATCTTTAACCGCTACACCAAACTGGCTCTTCAATTTGCATGAGCAACAGATGTTCCATAGGCCACCAAATAAACATTTGTCCATTCTTCCTTCTGATCCTCCAGAACAGGGGTGTCAAACTCGCGGCCCGCAGGCCAGATGCGTAACGTGCTGGCCACGCCACCACGGGGTTTAGCGGGGGGGGGGAAGTCATCATACATCACGTGACGACCACATGATGCCGCGAGTTTGACACCCCTGCTCTAGAACCATTTCACTATTAGCTTTCCCAGGCCAATCAAAACAAGAACAGACTGAATTTGAGAAATTTGTGATTTTTAACAGAAGAAGAGAGTTCCTAAAGTTAGATTGCAAGAGTTATAGGGGATACTGTGACAGTAGCCAGTTGTCTGTGCATATCTTGCTCTACTGTTTTCTAAAACCATTAAAAAAATACAGCTCCAACTGTGAAGAATAAAGGACTTGACCAGAGAAGAAAAACATCATTCTAAGATTTTGAGACTTGAACCTGTTTAGTCCTTATTTCATAATAAATATGTAAAAAATACCATATTCACACAATGTAATGGAATGCTGTCCTGTATAACAGCAATGATCTGCATAAAATGCATTTTAAGGTGTAAACATCACTTTTCCCTACAAAGGATTTGTGCCCCTTTATTTCACGATTTCTAGTTATGTAAATTTGTAATTTTGCTAATGCTTTTTTGTTTATTTATACCTGCCAGTATGCATGTTTGAAGTTACATAAAAGCGTGAGATCTTACCCACACAAGCGGATAACTAGACCTATGAATGTAGCATAATCAACAACCCTCCCACTAACATTGATCTTGGATGATGGTAAATCTGTCTGTTTTGAAACTAGAAAAGAATGTGTTCTCCTTCAAACCTGAAAATTGGGCTGGAGCACCATCAGATGCCTTTTTTCATGCAATTCTGAGTATTCACTAAGAGTAAATTTTAGACATACCATAGTTTGGGGGGATAAAACAATCTCTGGAAGCTGGAAACTCTTGCTTCCAAAAAATAATCTCTCATATGGAGTAAAGCAACAGCTAGAAATGACTTTTAAAAAGAATGTGACAGGGAGTGTGCATGTTGCAAAATTTGCCCCGGGGATGGGTGAAAATCATTTTTAGGAGGTAAAATGGATGGCTGTACGCATATGTGAAAGGTTTTGTTGATGTAGGTTGGAGCGTAGCTGATCAAATTCTCCTTTAGAAGCTGCCAACAGAAAAGACAAGCTGAACTGATCCCCAATGCTCTGAAAAAAGTGAAGACTCGTTCCTCACGTTTTATTGTAAAAATAGTGCAAGAACACAAATCTGCAAGGCTTCTGTCAGCATACAGCACCATCTCTGGAATAAGTTCTCTTCAGCCTTGGTCAGAGCAGCTGATGATTTGGGAAATGGCATGTAGCTCTGCGTCTTTAGCACAATGGCACTTCTGTGAAGGGAGCAGTTCATGATCGTGGCTGCATGAGCCCCACGTGACAAAAGAGGCTCTGGAAATGTACAAGGGACCCATCATCAGAAAAGACGCTTCTCATATCTAAGAAATGAAAGGAATTGTGTTAAGCAACAGCAAAATGTGGCTGAAGATGGGAAGGAGGGAGGGAAGGAAGGAAGGAAGGAAATGAAAGAAGGAAATGAAAGTAGGAAATGAGGTGATACCTGGCTACTTGGAAATAATCTATCTCTTATTCTTGTTATTTCACATCCAGTTTATACTAAGCTTTCTAACTGAGCCTTGGGCATCAGGAGGACCATATTCTGGCCTCAGTAAAAATCCAAATTCATCTCAACGATGAAAGCTAACTTCAGATAGTGATGGTGTCTGGCTGGCTAATGGCAAATTCTTTCTTGACAGAATCCCCCTTTTCGGATACTTGCGTGGTAGAAGATACAGTTATTAAGAATTCAATTTTCCACACCAGAAGCTCTAAAGCTAATTTGCACTAGAGTTCAAACAAAACTTGGGTTAGGGTTAGGTTAAAATCTCCCATGACGATGGAGAGTGGGTAGTCTTAGTAGGGTGCCACCTCCTTTTGGGAGGGGAGGATGGGCTGAAGAGTGGCTGGTAAGACTGAGGAGAGTGCTGTAGAAGGTGACTACTAGTAATAGATGCAGTTAGGTTGCCCCATAATGGTGGTTCCATCAATTTTGGCCCCTGTGGGATGGGTGTTCACTAATCTTGGGCCTGAATCCAAACAAGGTGTGGACTGACTGGGATTCCTATGGATTTCCCTGGAGGTTTCTGGGGAGTGGAAGGCCAGGAGGGAGGGATGGGGGGAGAGAAGGGATTCCCTGTGGAACCAGCCAAGGAGATCGTACTGAATAGAAGCTGGCTTCCATTACCTAAGTACTGGTGTCTACTACATGCCCCAGAGAAACAGCAATGGCTATCTCAGAATGGGGACTCAAAAAGGTAAACTGACTTAAGCCTCAGACATTAGAGAAGGCTTCTGATTCATTTATAGCAGTGCATTGCTGCTGTAAGCTTGCGAGTCACACCAGAAAACCCACTGAGCTTATATAATACAAAGACGTAGCAAATAAACCAACAACAAAAAGGAAACTTGGGGATCTGCCATAATTAAGAGAGCCCTTGGCAGAGTGGATGGGCAGGCTTGTTTGCTCACTGGAAGAAGACAGGGCCAGAATAGGGAAAGGTGTTATTGTCTGACACAGAAAGCAATGCAAGGACTTTTCTAAGTGCTGCTTCAGAACAATCGGAAGAGAGAGAGCTGGTGTAGAAAGCCCTGCCTCCACCGTAGGACCTTTGAATTCTCCACTTATTCAAAATGAAAGGTGCACAAAACAAGCTTACGAGTGAAGGCCGTGAACTCCTCCTTCCACCTGAGCAGATGTTGTTCTCTTCTCGAATTTCAGCTCTCCGGAATACATCATGGCCCTACAGCGGTCAAAGGGAAGAAAAAGCAACATTCCCAATCAGCCACAAAAATCTTCACGGCACACAGGCACTACAACTATGGAGTAGTACGACCGACCCAAATCAATCTTTTACCAGGAATTGAAGTCTTGCTTCATAGATTTCCAAACACCCCTGTTCCATCACAGGCGTACAGCCAATGCCAACAACAGCTCCAAAAGGGTACTGATCAGGGGAGATGACGGAGAAGGGTTACTGCTCTCACCTCAGCTGGGTTAAACTCTTTGAGCCGATATCTTGGCAGGAATGCTGGATGCCAGCAATCAGGTACGGCACGAACTTGTGGATGGAGCCCTTGTCCTGCACAGCCCCAGAGACCCCCTGGGCCACTTTAATTTTATCCGTCTCACTGAGAAGAACAAACAACAGCGAAGCCCGTGAGAACCGCAGAACTGTGACTGTTCAATCCACTAATTATCATGGAAAAGAGGAGAAAAGAAATATTTGAAAGGAGAAAAAATATTAACTACCGTATTTTTCAGACTATAAAATGCACCGGACTATAAGACGCACCTAAATTTACAGGAGTAAAACAAGAAAAAAATAGTTTTTGGCCTCCATGCATCGGATTTTCGCCCTCCTAGGCCCCCAGAAGCACTCTGCAGTGCTCCGCACAGCCTGTTTTTGCCAAAAACGGGCCCATTTTTGGCCTACAGAGTGCCTCTGGGGGCCGGGGAGGGTGAAAACGCAACATGGAGAGGGTTCGGGAGGCCAAGAACGCCTGTATTCAGTCTAGAAGACGCACCAAAATTTTCACCCACTTTTAGGGGGGGGGGAAGGTGCGTCTGGTACTCCGAAAAATACGGTACCTGTCCAACGGTATTAATCTATTCAGAAATGCATTCTGGCAACCTTCTAGAGGAAGGCAATCTTATTAAGGTGAAACAGCCCTGAAGCTTTACACAAACGTTCCCTTTTTTGCATGGATTTGTTTGTTTGCACATTAATCTAACTATTCCTCTTACCTGAAATATCTGTTCTGGCTACCCAGGTTCTTGTCCATTGCATCAAGAGATCCCATGCCACGATATTTCTTCAGCCTGATCCCATCAGAGAAAAAATACTCTCCAGGGGCTTCTGAGGTAGCAGCTAGAAGGGACCCCATCATCACTAGAACCAGGAAAAACAAAGGCAAGCAACAGTGTGTGAGGGGATGTGGAAAGAAACAAACAGGAAATAGGATGAATTTGGGGAAGCAGGTTAACTTTGATATCAGTTACTTGCATGAAACTAATTGCATTCATGTGCTGTATATGCTCATAAACTAATCAAGGAGAGAAGCAACCTAGAACTAAGGAGGAATTTCCTGACAATTAAAACAATTAATCAGTGGAACAACTTGCCTCCAGAAGTTGTAAATGCTCCAACACTGGAAGTTTTTAAGAAGAGATTGGACAACCATTTGTCTGAAATGGTATAGGGCAGTGATGGCTAACCTTTTCCGGACCGAGTGCCCAAAGTGCACGCTCAAATGCGTGTGTGCGTGCCCGAACCCCCAAAATACAATATGCGCACGCTCCTGCATGTGCCGCACCCCCGCGCATGTGCACGCCCCCTTCCCATGCACCACCACCCCCGCATGCGTGGAAGAGATCGGAAGACCAGCTGGCTGGCAGAAGCCGTGCTGGCATGCACAGCAGAGCTGAACTGGGGCAACAGCTCGCGTGTCATCAGAGAGGGTCCTGCATGCCACCTCTGACACACATGCCACAGGTTCACCATCATGGGTATAGGGTTTCTTACCTGAACGGGGTTGGACTAGAAGACCTCCAAGGTCCCTTCCAACTCTGTTATTCTGAAGCTATAATTACACACAAGTACTGTCTGTCTGTCTGTCTGTCTCTTAACTTCCTGACAAGTTCCCCAATGTAGGCATGGTTTCCAGGCATGCATTTGAGCCACAAACATGATATATTGTACAATACAAGATCTCTCTTATGGTCTTACGATCGCACACAACTCCATTCCCTCCTAAAGGCTGTGCCTGGAAATTATCACGATCCCATGAGCTGAAAGTACGTGTTAGTAAGTCATTTGTAGTTCTAGTCTCACCCGTGGAAGCGCCCAGGGCAAGGGCCTTGGCAATGTGTCCAACAGTCTGGATGCCTCCATCTGCAATCACTGGCACACCAAATCTTCGAGCGTACTCAGACACTTTGTAGACTGCTGTGGCTTGGGGCCTGCCACACGCTAAGACTAAACGGGACAGATGAAGATAACAAGAAGCAAAAGAAGTAGTCAATTTTATTCTACGGCAGAACTCCTAACATAGAAGGGTCCTCAAAGCGCATGGCATTTTCAGCATGAGCCTCCAACCCCCCCACCCCCCACCCCAAATAAAGCAAATCAATTTTCAGAATTGGCATCTTTTTCACTGTTTCTTCCCAGAGTGTATCAAGGGAGTTGTATGTCTTTCCAATTCTGGCAAACCTCAGAGGGTATCTTCCCAGAGGCAGATATAAATCCATGCAAGTCTGATGATTTATTAGTTGGTTCCAGTCAACCTACTTGCAGGTAGCATTCTCCAGCCACAGTAACAGTCACTAGCTGTAATTAAAAACTTAGTTTTTACTGGATGATCAGAATCTAGTATCTCGCACTGAAGTTTTCATCAAGCTACCGTGTTTCCCTGAAAATAAGACCCAGTCTTAGGGGGGAGGGTTGCCTCCCAAAG